CTTATCAAATTGGTAAGCATAAAAAATATTAAAATGCTCAGTGCTGGTAAAGGTGTAAGAAACTAGCATTTTATACTCTGCTGGTAAGAATATAATTTGGTACAAACTCTGTGGAGGAAAATATGATAAGTAAAAAAGACCTGAAAGATGTGCATGCCATTGGGTGTACAAATTCCATTGCTAAGAATTTATACTAAGGAAATAATTACGGATTTGGAAAAAAGACTTAATACGAAGACTACTTATCTAAACTCTGTTAACTCATTATCATGAAGCTGGAAATAGTTGGCATGTCCAAATGTAGGGATTAAAATATGATACATCCCCAAATGGTCTACATTGTGGATGTTCATATTATGGAAGAATGTTTATTTTACATAAAAATTGTAATAAGTGTGGCATAATCTCTTATTTGTTATAAAATATGTCTATGCAGAAAAGATTTTGGAAGCTGTTAACAACTGATTCTTTTGGATGGGTGGATTGCATGTATTTTTTGCTTGTCAATATTTTCTAAGTTTTCTATAATGAATATGCATTACTGTCACAATTTTTAAAACCAAGCTTCTTTTTTAATTGAAAGAGTAAACTAGGGCTAACATAATATGGATTAAATACTGTTGAGTCATCTTTCTCATTTGTTTTTTTGACCATGACATCCATCCCTCACTGTGATAATATATGTTAGATATTGCTTGGCTCACATGCGCAATATGGCTGAGGTAGAAAGGGAAATTCTCTTGGTTTAATTGTTATAGGAACAAGAGTTCAAAGATTTTTTAAATTGATGTATCGTTGATATACAATCGTGTATTGGTTTCAAATGTACAACACAATGGTTCAACAGTTACCTGTATTATTAAATCCTCATCCCCTCTAGTGCAGTTACTATCAACACAGAAAGATGTTACTGAATCATTGACTATATTCTCCAAGCTGTACAAGCGTCTCCATGACCAACTTAGACTGTGATTGTTAATTATTGTGCCCCTTTATTCCCCTCATCTGAAAGAAATCTTATTTAGTTTAGTCCTTTTCATTTTACAAAGTAGGGAACTCAAGAGAGATCCAGGAGATTGCTTGATTTACTTAAGGTCACACTGCTTTCCAACAGCAAATATATTCCAGTCTCCAGATTACTGGTCCACTTATCTCCAAGAAATTAGTTTAATACCCATATCAATGATCCTAGAAGCTAAGCTGGCTTTGGGAAGAGGTATAGCAGCTCTGCTAATTGGAAAACCAAGAAAAATCATAAGTCAGTTAAGCAAAAACCTGGTTACTCTTACAACAGTAAAATGAACATCCAGGTGTCAGAAGAACAGGAAAAATATATCAAGAAAACATAAAAGGCCTTCTATGTTATCTAGTATTGGCTCCTTTTGGAGGATTCAGATTTTGAAACAGATTCTATGATTAAGTTATTCACAAGTACTCTAGGTTAATGACTACTACCACTGTTGATTAACTTCAATATATTTATGGCAGATTGCCCATTTTAACAAGCTAATAATTGCATGGCTTTTTATAGATTTATCTTCCATGCATAAACAAAGAATTTGAATAACTTATCAGTGGTTCTAAAATAATGGTCTTCAACCCTTGGGGTTGGTGGTGTGGGAAGGGTTGAGACCATTCAAGGAGTCTGTGAGGTTAAAAGTATTACATAATAATGCTCCCACGTTATTAACTTTTTTCACTTGATTGACATTCATGCTGATGGTGTAAAGAAATAGTAGATAAAATTGTTGGCACCTTAGAACACATCAAGTTAGTGGCACCAAACTGTTCTAGTAGTCATTATATTTTTCACTGCAACTCCTTCATACTAAAAACAATGTCAATTTCACTTTAGAATGTCCTTGATGAAATAGTAAAAATTATTAATTTTTATTAAATCTCAATTTATACAAATTTGGCAAAGTATGCATAAAGCACTTCTGCTGTGTACCTGGCTGTGCAGAGGATTTGGTTGTCCAATCAAAAGCACTTGTGCAATGGATTAAATTGTAAGCTGAAATAGCTGCTTTTTGCATGGAACATCATTTGTACTTGAAAAAATGACAGACAGACAAACTATGGTTATTCAGACCTAAGTGGCAGAAGTTCTCTCAAAAACTGTAACAAAGTGAGCCTGTCACCTCAAAGAAAACAACTAATAGTATTTGTTGCCATGATAAAACTTCAGCTTTCAAATGAAAATTAGAATTTTGAAAAATTGTATTTGCTACCATGAGCTTGTCATCTTCCTAATATCTGAAGACTTTTATAATGAGATGGATGATGATATTATGGGATATCACTGCTTGATACTGTATAATGAAATGATCAACAATAGAAATATCTGTATAAAACAGTGAACCACTATTTTCCAAATGACCATGTTTGATACTACAAAATCATGCACGAATAAAAAAGATCCATTCAAAGTGTAAGATAGACTCATAGATTTTAGTGTAACCGAGTAAGAAAAGTACATTGATATTTTATGTTCCACATTGTGACTAGCTTTTACACAACTACTGCTTGTCAAACATTGTTGAGATATCAAAGAATACCCATGATTGTCTAAAATAGAGATGTTAAGTAGTCCACTTTTCCCAGCTACTGAGAGGTGGGATTTTCTTCATCTCCCTAAACCAAAACAAAACAGTGTAACAGACTAAATGCAGAAGTAACTGTAAGAATCTGGCTATTTTCTATTACATCACATGTTTTGTTTGCAAAAGCATAAAGCAATGCCACTCCTGGGATGGTTCTTATACAAAAACAAAAACAGAGACAGAAAACAAGTGTTGAAGATGTGGAGAGACTGAAACTCCTGTGCATTGCCTATGGGAATGTACAATGGTATAGCTGCTGTGGAAAACAGAATGGTAGTTCCACAAAAATTAAACAACTATCTGTGATCCAGTAATTCCACTTCTAAGTATATATCACAAAGAACTGAAAGTAGAGACTCAAACAGGTATGTATATCAATGATCATAGCAGCATTATTTAATATAACCAAAGATGAAAACAATCCAAATGTTCATGGAGAGATGAACAAAATGTGGTATACCTATATAATGGAGTATTATTCAGCCTTAAAAAGGAAGGAAATTCTGACATGTTACAATATGGACAATCCTTAAAAACATTATGCTAAGTGAAATAAGTCACTCACGAAAGAACAAACATTGTAAGATTCCATTTGTATGAGGTATGTAAATAGCCAAATTCATATACACAGAAAGAATAGTGGTTCCCAGGGACTTAGAGAGGGGATAATGAAGAGTTTTGCTACATGGGTATAGAGTTTCAGTTTGGGATGATGAAAAAGTTTTGGATATGGTAATAACTGTGCAACAATGTGAATGTATTTAATGCCACTGAATTACGTACTCTAAAATAATTAGAATGGTAAGTTTTGTTATAAATATTTTACCACAATAAAAAAAGAAGCTGAGAAAAAGGAGAAAAACACAATGCCACTCTTCTCACCCATTTTTGGGAGAATTTTGGAAAATACTTGTCATTAAATATATCTATGTGTGCAATGAGTTTATTACTGTTTTTTAAATAAACTAATACTTTAAAAATCTACCAGTTTTCATTTCTAATATGGTAAATATAGAAAGCTTTTACCCACATAAACAGCTTTATTAATTTCTGAGAGGTAAAGGGGTTATGAGACTAAACAGTTTGAGAACTGCTGTCTTACACGTAATTTATTCTCTCTTCTCACACCTGTGTTAAGGGAAGAGTCTCATTTGTTGGTGTAGCTTCATTTGACAGCTATAGTGCTTGCAGATTGCAGACTAAAAGGAGAGCCTGAAAGATGCTCAAAATCATCACATAAACTCTTCATAAGCACTACTGTCCCCAGGATGCACTGGAAGGATTGAGTGACGACAAAGCGCACACTGATGAGTGGCAATGTAAAATAAAAAGCTGTTGGCGCACACTGATGAGTGGCAATGTAAAATAAAAAGCTGTTGGAAAGCTTAAATGCTGGTATGTTCCAAAGTAGTTTTAAGTATCTAGCAAGAAACATACATTTCCTATTTTCATTTGGATTTACAGTTCAAGGCTGGATTTGGGAATGAGGATGGTAGATGCATCGTTTCAGAAAACCACTCCATCCAGGGCACACGTGCAAAGAATTTAATTCTCTCTCCACCTTCTACTGGTCTGTGGCAGAGGGGTGTGGTTAGAAAGCGAGGAAGCGATCCAGAACAGGCTGCCCCAAACTGTCCAAGCAGTAATTTCCTCCATTTTGGGCCAAGTCGATCTGCCCCGGCGACAGGCCATATGTTTTATGGGGAGGAGGTAAACAAAAAGGAAATTAGAAAGCATGGACGGGGAGAAACAAGCAGCCAAACCATAGCGGTTTCACCGTGATGTAAACGATTTGTACGCTACTGCGGTGCGTGAGGGGAATCACTGTTCCCGAGTCTACAGCCGCCGGCACTTTAATGACAGGTCTGCACTTCCCGATGGGGACAAAGTCAAACGATTTTCTTCTCAGGCCCATTGTTCTGCATTCACTGTGGGCCGAGCCTGCGACGTGTGTCGCCGACCGCTGCCGAGGCAGTCCCAGACAAAGGGGAAAGGGTGCCCTCCCGGGAAGCGGGGAGGGAACGGTGGCCCCGGGCCCGCGCTGGGGGTCCCTAAGCGCGGACCGCGCGGGCCCGGGGGAAGGCGCGGTCGGAGCAGCCCCAACGGCGAGGACCGCCGCCCTGCCCGCGGCCAAGGGGAACCCGCGCGCGGAGTACCTGCAGAGGCCTCGCACAGCCGAGAGGCACCGGGCGATCATGGGAGCGCCGAGAGGCGGCCGCGGCGACGGGCGTCTTCCTCCGGCGTGGGGGTGGGGCCGGCGGGAGGCGGGAGGCAGCCCCGCGGAGAGGCCGGCGCGCGCGCTCCCACGTGCGGGCGCCAAGGCCGGTGCCCAGTCCGCCCCGCCCCGCCCCTGGCACCGCCCCCTGGGCGGTTCCGGTGCGACCCGGTCGCGGGAAGTGGAGCGCCCGGCCGGGCGAGGTGAGGGGCGAAGGCTTTGCGGCCGGCCAAGTTTCGGCGGCTGCCGGCTGTGCAGCGATCGGGAGCCGGGCTCCAGCCCTGAGGACCGGGAACGCCCCGATCGGCGCGGGCCCGCTGCCGCCGTCTCGCGTCCTCTTGCCTGGTAAGGGGCTTCAGTCTGGGAAGGGTGCGTCTCCCCTGTCCACACCCGGCGTGCACCGCGCCCCGCAGCAAGCCCGGCCGGGGCTAAGGCGAGGCCCGGGTACCGAAGGAGGGAGAGGGAACTCGGTGTGCTCTGAAGAGAGAAACGGGGAGAATCCTGGAGGAGGTTGGACATGTCCGTTTCCTCTCCGCACCCCCATTTCATCCTTTCTTTTTTTCACCTTCTGCCCTGGGGCCTTATTTAGTACCTGCAACCCGTTGGCCTAGAGGCTGCACCCACCTTTAAAATAAGCACACAAATAATAAACATCATCCTAGTGGCGAGTACCACACCCTGGCTTTGAATCAGGGAACCTGGGGGTCAGATGAATGATGCGATTTAGTGGAAATAAGCCGTTAATGCTGGCCGGCCCTGCGCCGTTTTGGATGCGATAGTATTCCGTGTGAATGAACGTGACCCGGAGCTTCCAGCTTGTCCGCGAGAGCGCAGCTACTGCGGAGAGCACTGGTCGGTTTATAGTATTCATCGGCTTAGGCAAAGATTTCCTGACATGTCTGTTCATTAAATAGAAATGCCATTTTTATTAAGAACGACATTCAATTCAATTAATGATTTCATTAATATTTTCATTAATATATATCCTCTTCAAATCACTGTCTCCGCCTTCAAAAGTAGGTAGAGTGTAGATTATGCATACATTTAAAAAATCTCGTGAAATAGAGGAAGATGCCTAGTGTGGATCAGCTTCTGAGTCAGCAGTACGAAATCTCCCTCAATTTAGTACTGAGGCTTTTGGGGGATTCCTACATCTGTATTTATACCCTTATCCTTATCTGTGTCTATACCACAAATACTCAAGATAGGGTGAGATATTCAGTGAGGGACTAATCTTATGTTAAACATCTTTTGAGAAAAAAAATTACTTCTGCACGTTTTCACATAATCTGATACTACTTGGAATGAATATATGATACCATAACAATACTTTGTGCTCGTCTCACTCCTTAAAAAGAAAAAAGAGCGAAGATAATACAGATTTTGGTTTCTGCTGTTTACTTTTAATTTATAAGTAATTTATACCCCATGTTATAACCTTCCTGATTTACTTTCTAAAATAACTTAGTGCCACGTTTTCATTTTTCTTATCAAGGAAACGTGTTTAAGCTTTTAAAATGTCATCTATCAAGCACCTAGTTTATGCAGTTATTCGTTTCTTACGGGAACAAAGTCAAATGGATGCTTATTCTTCGGATGAACAAGAAAGTTTGGAAGGTAGGCACCTGTTCTTTATGTTCAACACAAATGAACATAAATAAAAGACTAAAATAGCTATAAGCCTGACATTATGATCTGTTATAACAAAATCAGTATATTTTGTTGAGTTTTCAAGAAGAGACCTAACTATAAGGTTACTCGTGTTTCCATTCTCTGAGGCTGGTTTTGCTTGTTTTAATTAACAACATTAGAGGAGTATTGTTCATTTACTGAACAACTATTATGTGTTAGAATTATACTATTCATAGTGTAGGGAATTTTCTCTTCACAGTGATAATACATTATTAGTATTATCTCCACTTTCACAGATATGTAAATGAAACCAGATAGATTAGGTAACATAACACAGCTAATACATGCAAAGTTGAGATCTAAATTCTGGGTCTTAACTCTGAAGCACTTGTCTCTTCCTAACAGGAAAGCATCCAATTTAGAATCAGTATATGAAAATACCTTAGTCACATAAAAGCTCTGTGTAAAAGTCTAGTTGTTATATCACTATTAAGCTCTGACACTTCTTATTTGAGGATTTGAAATGAAAGGATTTCACCCTTGTTTTATGTGAGTTTTAAATATTAGATTTAGTAATCTGTAAAGTCAAGCAGAACTTGGATTGGTAGCATCATGCGTTTGCTTGACACCATCCTTTCTGCTTAATGTTTATGCATTATAAAATTTAAATTCAGTTTATCCATAACAAGATAGAATTCTGCAGATGGCTAGAGGACGTTCAGTGAACCTAGTTTCCTTGTGGCCTAAAGACTTAATTATTGCAATGATACAGTGCATTTGGGAGACTTTAATAAATTACAGTATAACTTGCATTTCCCATCTTGAAGCCTTTTCTCCTGTAGAGGGGACACAACTGTTAGTTTCAACAAGCACTCCCCTTGTGAATATGCTTTTAGGAGGTGGGGATGAAAATTGGGCATTTGCTCTAAATCTGCTTGCTCTCTAGTGAGATGATGTATTCCCAGGTGGCAGTGAGAGGAGCAGGTGACACACAGTTGAAGAACATTGCAATCAGTCCATTTAATTCTAAGGTCTTTTTATCCTTGATGGTTAGACCATGTGAAGATAAGATGATGGGTGACTAAAGAAAATGTTGGTTAAGGTTGTGCTATAGCAAACAGATAAATGCCATCATTTAGTAATAGATGTTTCTTTTCTAATCAAAGGCAGCATAATACTTTCAAAGGGCCAGAAAGAACTGAGAGTTTTTTTTTAAAAAACCAAGATGTTATGTCCTATTTTTAGGGTCATATTCAGCGAAAAATATGTGCCTTCAGCTGTTTGTTATATATGGCAGTCAAAAGTGGTGCCAATTGTTTTTGACCAACCCCTATTTTTGACTCTGTGAATCTAATTTAATTGAATATGAACATCATGTGGAGATATCTGCCCACCTTCTAGACACTTAAAAAAGCCCTAGGAAAGGAGTCTAACTTCTAGTACCAGCTTTACCATTATGGTGAAGCTGGTTATTTATAAGTTCTGAACCTTGTCATCAGATTATATTACCCATCCCTCCTAAATGTCGTCTACTAACATCTGCTTCATGTTTGGACTGTTGTGGCTCCTGCTCACTGTCACTCTCTCTAGCACCACTCTTGTCTTAATTCTTGGCAATTGCGATATACTAATAGATTCTTCTAGTTTTCTTGACATTCAGTACCCTGACCTCTCTTCTAGTGATCTCAATTTTTCACCTTCTTGGGTATACCCTAGAGCAGTGGTTCTCAACTTGGGGTGATTTTGAAATGTTTAGAGATATTTTTGATTGTCATTAGTTGGGGGCTGATATTACTGGCATCCAGTGGGTAGAGACCGTACTATAGTGCACAGGATGGTGGTCAACAGTGAAGAACTGTCTAGTCCAAAATGTCAATAGTGCTGAGGTTGAAGAACTCTTTCCTAGGCCTATGTTACTCATACTGCATTCTTTCCATAATCTCTACCATCAACATTTCACTTCCTATGCCTGTCTTCCCACCTCATTCCCTCAAGAATCCCTACTCCAACAATTCTTTGACCCTATCAGTACTGCCAGTTTGTTGATCTCGCACCTTTTCCCACCCCTTCTTCTTACCCAGCTTAAATTTCTGGTTGCTCGTTATAATCACATCCTGTATACCACTCCTTTTCTTACAAACCCTAACTTTGTTTAATTCCAATTTTCCACCTACTCTGTGCCCATATCTGTGTGACTGTGTATAGAAGCAGCAAAACATACAACTTTGTTGACTGGTCTCACTTTAAATTCATGACCACAGCCTCAAGCAGACTTACTGCTTCCAGCAATCACATCATCTGTTCCAAGTTCTTTCATACTTAATGCTCCCCTAGACAACCACTTTAACACTTTCTTGTGTCTTCTCAAACCCCCAAACCTCCTCCTCTGTGCTCACGTTTGGCTGATGACCATGCTTCCTACACCACCAGAAAAACTGAAATAGTAAGAAAACAACCTCCACAGATTCCCCCTGCCCCATCCACCCATCCACCAGCATCTGCACCCATATACTCTGCCTGCCTGCCTGCCTGTTACCACATGCTGTGGACTAAATATTTGTGTCCTCACCAAATCAATATTTTGAAATCTAGTGCCCAGTGCAATGGTATTAGGAAGTGAGGCCCTCATGATTGGAATTAGTGTCCTTACAAGAGACCCCTGCTCCTTCTACCATGTGAGGACACAACCAGAAGTTGCCATCTGTGAATCAGAAAGCAGGTCTTCACCAGGCATCAAACATGCTGGCACCTTGATCTTGGACTTCCCAGATTCTAAAACTATGAGAAATAATTTCTGTTGTTTATAAGCCACCTAGTTATGGTGTATTCTGTTATAACAGCCCAAACAGATTAAGACACCATAGATAAACTATTCATTGTCCTTTCTAAATGGAACCCTTCTCCTGACATACTAGATCCTATCCTGTCTTACCTACTCCAAGATATCACTCTAGTTATTCTACCCTCCTTGTCATCAGCAAATTTTCCATCTCTACTAGATCATTTCCAACAGATTATAATCTTTTCATTATTTCTCCCTTCTTAAAAGGCAAAGACAACAATTAATTACTCCTTCCAAACTACCAGCTGCCCTTCCTCAAACTTCTTCTGCCTTTATTTCTTTCCATTTTTTTGCCTTTTGCTGGAAAACTCTTTGAAAGAGTTGCCCATAGTTGCTTTCTCTAATTCCTCTCCTTCTATTCTTTCTTAGAGTCACTCCAGTTAGGCCTCTGCCTCCATTTCTCTACCCATACTATCTCATCAAAGTCATTGGTGATTTCTGTGTGATTTAGGTCAGTACTCAGTTCTCAGTCTTCATCTGTCATACTCGCTGCTATTGACAAAGTTGATGGTCACTCCCTCATCCCCTCTCCCCAGTATACTTTATTCACTTGGCTTCTTAGTCTCTTGGTCTTCTTATCTCATTGTTTGCTCCTTCTCTGTTTCCTTTGCTGGTTCCTCTTCTTTTCCCTGGCCTGGAGTACCCAGGATCCAGGCTTGATCTTCTCATTATCTACACTCATTTTTAGGTGATACCATTCAGCTACTTGGCCTTGAATATCCCTTATTTGTATGCTGATATCTCTCAAATGTGTACCTTCAGCCCAGACTTTTCTTCTGAACTCCAGACTTCTGTATTCAGCTGCCTACTAGATATCACTGTATATCTCATAGGCATCTCAAATTGAACATTTCCGAAACCAAAGTCCTGATCCTCCCACCCAAAATCTGTTTTATCCACCACTTCCCTATCTCAGTTGATGACAACTCCATCTTTTCAGTTGCTCAAGCCAAAAACCTTGACATTATTCTGAACTCTTCTCTTTCTCTCATACTCGGTATCTAAGTTGTTCAATAAACCCTGTTGATCATACCTTGAAAATATGCCCAGAATCTGACCACTTCTTCCCACCTCCTCTGATATCACCCCTGTTTGGAATATTTCTCATCTTTTTTACTCTGATAGCCTCTAGCTGATCTCTTTGCTTCTGTTCTTGCCTCTTAATTGGCTTTTCTCCACACAGCCATCAGTGATGTTTTAAAACAGAGTATGACAGATTCAATCATTCCTCTGTTCAAAATCTTACAGTGACTTCTCATGTTACCTGGTCATTGTTTAAAAGATCTACACAATTTGAACTTCTGTGATGTGTTGTGTATAGGAGTGCCACAGATTTCTGTGTATTAATTTTGTATCCTGCAACTTCGCTGAATTCAGATATTATTAGATCTAGCACTTTTGGAGTGGATTCTTTAGGGTTTTTTATGTACAATATCATGTCATCTGCAAACAGGGACAGTTTGACTTCTTCCTTGCCAATCTGGATGCCTTTTATTTCTTTGTGATGTCTGATAGCCATGGCTAGGACCTCCAGAACTATGTTGAATAAAAGTGGGGAGGGGGGCTATCCTTGTCTTGTTCCCGATCTTAGAGGAAAAGCTTTCAGCTTCTCACTGTTAAGTATAATGTTGGCTGCGGGTTTGTCATATATGGCCTTTATTATGTTGAGGTACTTGCCCTCTATACCCATTTTGTTGAGAGTTTTTATCATGAATGGATGTTGAATTTTGTCGAATGCTTTTTCAGCATCTATGGAGATGATCATGTGGTTTTTGTCCTTTTTGTTTATGTGTTGGATGATGTTGATGGATTTTTTAATGTTGTACCATCCTTGCATCCCTGGAATAAATCCTACTTGATCATGATGGATGATCTTTTTGATGCATTTTTGAATTCAGTTTGGTAATATTTTGTTGAGTATTTTTGCATCTATGTTCATCAGGGATATTGGTCTGTAATTTTCTTTTTTGGTGGTGTCTTTGCCTGGTTTTGGTATTAGAGTGATGCTGGTCTCATAGAATGAGTTTGGAAGTATTCCCTCCTCTT